GGTGTGTAGAGGCCCAGGGTTTCCCTGTTTTCCAACAAGAGTGCTTTGTTGTCTGGCTTTGGAAAATTAATTATCTCTCCAAATTTGGGAGATCCCTTTCCCTGTGAACAGTGGTCCCAGGTACTGACCTGCCCACATATCCAATATTTATGCCCAACACCATTACTTCCCAATGGGTGTAGGCAATTCCTCCATCTCTCTTTGTATCTTATGTAAGTTTTCACCTTGATTGTCATTTTGATAAGTCTGATTTTTCAACTTTGTAGGCAAAAGGGTTGGGCTTAATCTATGGTCATTAATTGTATTTATTACTGTTGTCAGCACATTTTTCAGTGTTTGGAGTCTTGTCTTTATAATTAGAAATTAACCAGCTGCTTCCCTTTTACTGTAATCCTCATATCTTAATTTCTCTTAGGTGAAGTATAAAATCCTTTCTCTGGGATTGTTTTTACAGTCTTATGATTTTTGACAGCAATTATCAATCAGTTTTTCTCCATTTGCCTTCGCTTTAAACTTACCAAATTTGATCTCCTCAATCAACCTTTTCTGGCCAGTCCTTAGATGTTTTTGTAACTTCCACTTTAAGGTAGCACCGTCAATCATCAGCCCACTTTTTCCAGATGGCCTCTTTGGTAATATCTTTCCCCAAAACAACAAAGTTGCTTTCTTCAAGCTGCCTGTTTTTTAAATCGATATGGGATGCAATTGATGATGGGCAAGTAAAATAAAACACCACTAACCATACCAAAGGCCATTCTTCATTCAAAGGTGATGCTGTGTATAAGATCTGTCCAGAAAACCACCCATTTTATATTGAAAAAATGCCTAGCTCAGTCACAGGTGCTTTAATTCCTTCAGCATACTCCCTTTGGGACTCTACACACTTATTAAAAAGGCCTGTAAAGTTGTCTTTTTATGATCACCTCCCCATCAGCTGCTTTATGTTCTCTTTAATCTCCTCTATAACCTGAAATCTGCATTTTGAATAATTTTAGCTTTGACAAAATCCAGAAGTCACAGGGACTTGATCTTAATGTTAAGTGTTGACAAAATGGGGTGAGACAATGTTTGCCAAAAACCCTGCACAAGAAATGTGAATAATAGGCAAGTCTGTTGTTATGATGAATGCAATGGTCATCCTGTTCACATATGTGCAGTAATATCTTTTCTGATTGCCAGATTATATCAAGACTGCACAACCAGTGCTTAGATCTTCAAAATGGGTAGATACTCTCCAGAAAGGTTTTGTATATAATAAAAACTGGAAGAGACTTCTATTATTAGCTTCTTCCATAGAACCAAACAATTGACTCCAACAAATATTGTTCTCAATTAGACCAAATATGAAGGCAGAATTAAGAGAAGGGGCTTAATATCAGAATAATGTTGGACTGCCTGTTTCTTTGATGACCAGGCAAAAATTGTTATAGCTTGGCAAGGATATCTTGTCTCTTGCCATGCATCTTTTCATTTACCATGTATTCTGGAGTTTTACTGTTGTAGTGGGAAGGGCTACCTAAATTACTTCTTTGCTCTGAAAAATAGTTCTAAGTGACTGTAATTATGAAATTGCAAGAAAGAAGATAGAATGAAACAGTAAATATGTTCAATGAAGTATGTCTTTAGCTTTCATTTAATGAACTGAATAAATTTATTGATTAAGCCTTCTCAATCATTAATTTTTAACTATATAGTTTCATCTTTATTTTTGCAAATTTTACTGATACCATCAGTTACACACACACACACACACATATGTGGTGCAGTTCAATTTACATTACATGAATCATTCATACAAAAAAACAGATATAGAAGTTAATGATTTAAATGGCGAGAATACATCTTCGTAAACAAATTTAATAAAGTACATTAACCCCCAAACCTGTATATGAATGTTATAATCCCTGTTCATAAATTCCAGTTGCATAAGGTCTTTGTCTTTTTTTTAGTTATTTACAAGCTTTCGTCTGTTCATACAGACATCTTCAGGTATGGAAATAGATTTGTTTTTGTTTTTACTTCTTGGTAATAACAGGACAACGAAAATATAGACGTAATCCAAAATGTGTTATTGTTAATTGTAAGAAATTTTTTTGGAGCGTGCAGTCACAACACTGAGGTTGAATTTTTAAATTTTAAGATTGTGTGTTTTTGTACTAATATGGTAATAGAATTATTTTGTACTGGTAGGTTTTTCAGTCAGTGTGGCATGAACTAAATTGTTCAATAAATACAGGAATGTCACAGTTATTATCCAAAAGTTGCACGTCGGATCAGTTATTTTAATATCAAGTATGTGGTGCAGTTCAACTTACATTACATGAATCAACTTTCGGATATAAATCATTAACTTCTATATCCGTTTTTTGTATGAATGATTCACGTAATGTATATATATATATATTACATGAATCACTCATACAATATATATATATATATATATATATATATATATATATAATTTACTTAATTTTGACAATGAAAATAGAATCCAGATGCAAAACTTTGAAGATTTCTCTCCTACCTGATCTCACTTTTTTCTTTTTTTACTTTTTTCTTGTAAGTCAGAAAGATATATGATCAAATTCCACACTATTCATGTCAGCATTACTTGTGAATCAGGATATATCTGTTCAAGGTTGGTTTCTCACTTTCATGAAAGCAAGAGGGGACAGATATATTACAAGTTTATAAAATCAATTTTAGCAAACAATTCCTCTTAATTATAATTGCATTAAGTTTACATAGGAGCAGAGTAATTTCTTTGCTTTTATTGTTGAGCATCATAGGCATTAGAGTTAATCATTTCAGCCCCCTGCCACCCAATTATTATATTTGGGACTATATATTAAGAGGTATTTTTTGCATTTTTTCCATAATGTTAAAGAGTCAATTAACAACCTAAACTTTATAATAAATGATAGAGAAAAATATATTTTCTTTCTCTATTTTGTTCTTTCTGATGAAGCCTTTTGATGTTGTCATTTGAAATGTGTTGCCTTTTTGTAAGTTCTTTATGCTAATTTTGTTTGTTACTGTTTGTTACCATTATGTAAGCTATGATTTGATCACATTTCTTACTCAAATCAAACCTTTACTTAAATAAATGGTACTTTAAGCAATTTCATTACATTGATACTGTTCAAATTTATAATTGAAATTAGAATTACTGGCTTAACATTTTGGAAAATAATCAAGAGCATGCTCTTATTACTTCAAGAATCTTTTTCTTTTTTTCTTAGCAGGATGTGAAAAAAAATTTATTGCAGAATCTTATTTTCTGCACTTAATTTTTCTTAAATAATGATGAGAGAGTTAATTTCGTAGGACTTTTTTTGTTAAGCTAGAACTACAAGCTATTAATGGCCTTTAAGTTTGAGGTTCCATCTCTATATTGGCTGATTATATTTAATACAATAAATACATTTTAAGAAACTTCTGGATAAGTCAATATACCTCATTTAATTGGCCAGTCTGGTTATCCACATGGTTTTTATTGACTAAAACTGACAAGTGTTTTTAAAATGTTACTTTTTTTTTTTTTCCTTTTTAAGTTTATCTCTATACAGATATTTGTCACAGCTTATACATTTTGATTATATCTATAGGTTTACTATTATAGGATGCTGAAAAGTTTGCTCAAAGTTAAGCTGACACTATCAGATTCAAATCTGACCTGACCTGCTCTTACAAATGGAGACTTCTTTTGCCTTCCACCTGCATTGGACTAGCCATGATTTTTGTTAAATTTAATGAATGATCCTATTACAAGTAAATCTGGTGTTTTTTTTGCCTTTTACAAAACTGCTTGACAGACTGGTGATGAATGTATTTAAACCATTATTGAAAACTGTACAGGGCTTCCCAGTAAGATCCATTGTTAACAACTTTAATTTTCACCTTTCTAATATGGCTCTTGGGAAGGTTTCAGAAAGCAACCTCTAGAAACAGAATTTGCAAACTTAAGTACTGTTTATAAAAAAAAAATTCTATCCACTTTCTCATTCAAATATATTTTTTCTTTTGTATCTGATCTCCAGTGAGGATTTTTATATAAAGCAATCCTTGCTACATGATCTTTTTCTTTACCACCCTGAATAGCATGATAATTCCCTCCCATGTCCTAATCTATTCACATATAACAAAACCAACATCCATCCCCATAACAAGAACATCTGCCTAGTTACCTGGCTCATTCATTTATAAAATGTTACCTGAATGTTAGGTGTACTACATCACTTTGCTTCCCCTGTGAAACTACCTTACTTTCTGTATCTGAATATATAATGTTAACATTTCTTTAATTTTTATGTATTTTTTAAGTTTCTTATACTAAAACTTAATTTATAAACTAAAATGTATAATGTGTCTTTGAATTATTTTTAGTAATGTATCTTGTTCATGCAAAATATTTTAGTAAATTTAATTTTTGTATGTGTTCACACAAATTTTGAGAAGTTCATTAAAACAAGGTAAATTATAAGTAAAAACAATAAAAAGTTATGGAGTACATGTTTAGTATGTATGCTCCTTCCCAACTTTTAATCTTTTATTCAAAGACACTGTCTCTCTCTCTCTCACCTTACTTGAATCTTTAGGAATGAAAAAAATGGTGAAACCATGAACCCCTTCTCATCCCCTAATATTCAATACATCTTGCTTTTTACTTAGCAAAATGTTTGGTAAATTCTTCGCTGATTGATTGACTTCCAATTTTTAATATTCTTTTTTCCTATTTATCCAATAACTTCAAAAGTGTTCTTTTCAAAATTGACTATTTCTTGAATATTATGGATTATTTAAAAGTATAGTAGTTTTTCTCAATTTGAAAAATAATTAAAATCAATGCCATATGTCATGCCTTTATCTATAATGAAAAATCTTTTAGAATGCTCATGCACTCTTTTTAAGATAATCATTTTCAGAATTTATATTTTTTGTTCATGAAATCTAATGTTGCAAATATCTAACCCATTTTTTTTTTTTTTTTCTTTAATCAGCTACAACTTTGGGATACAGCTGGTCAAGAAAGGTTCCGCAAAAGTATGGTTCAACATTACTACCGGAATGTGCATGCTGTAGTTTTTGTTTATGATGTAACAAAAATTAGCTCATTTGAAAATATGCCCAACTGGATTGAGGAATGTGACCGACATAATCTAAACAAGGATATCCCGAGGATTCTGGTTGGCAACAAATGTGACATGATTGACCGAATTGCTGTCAACACAAATGCTGCCCAAAAATTTGCTGATACTCACAACATGCCTCTGTTTGAGACTTCCGCAAAAGATGATGAGAAGGCCAACCATGTTGAGGCTATCTTCATGACATTGGCACATAAGTTGAAAAATTCTAAGCCAATGATGCCCAGCTATGTACCACGCTATTCCTCTACTTCCTCAGGAGCCACTCATGTCATCAATGTTGGACGTAGTCCTGAGGGTCATGGACTGCCTACACAGGATGATGGGAAGAAACAAGATGGCTGTGCTTGCTAGTTCCTCACTAACTGTTGAAAGCTTCTGGGGGATGGGGGGGCAAAAATCAGCAGACTCGCAATGCTCTGCTACAACTCTCTCTCTCTCTCTCTCTCTCTCTCCCACCTAAATTTTGGGACATTTGCTCCATTCAAGAGTTCTGTTAAACTTCAATGGCAGTGACATTATGTCCTACCCTTTTTCCCTACACACACTTCCACATTTTATAAGTTTTATACCAAATTTAGAAAATGTTAAGTCAGATTAGAACAGACATTCTTTTTTTTTCCCCCTGAACATTTGCTTGGAGTGGAAATAACCTTCTGTAAAAAGATGTTTTTCATATTTCAGGAATGTATTAGGGTTGAGATATATGAATGATAAATATAAATTTTTAAGTAATTCAACAATTTTCAAGTCATAAATTTGGAAGAATTATGATTATTAGTACTAGTCTTTTATTTTGTGTTCATGAGAATAAAAACAAAGGAACAGGGTGACCAAGAAATTAGATGTAACATTTTAAGATTCTAAAATCTCCTTTTCTTGATATCAAAACTATTGTCATTCAACTTGATTAGAAATATTGGCAACCAAGTTATGACTCTTTGTTACCCTAGTAGGATTGTGTGGATGTGTCCTTTTTTTTTTTTTTTTTTTTTTTTTTTATCTTCACCACCATTCTTTCCTCACTCACACACACACTCACCTCCCAAATTTCCGCACAATATTTGATAAATTACAAAAAATACTGACATTCTGGTAACTTACCATATTTGCAGCATCTACTCTACAGTTTTTGAAGTGAAGATTAAACATATTCATTTACTTGGAATTTACATCAGTCTACCTAAAATCATGGAACATAAACCAGAATTCACTAGTTACCTTTGCTCTCATTTTTAAAACTAAGCCATTTTTTTTTTTTTTTTTTTTTTTTTTTTTTTTTATCGAGGATAGATTTTAATAAGACATACATTTCCTGCAAAATGACCAGAAATGGATATTATTCCTCCTCATATGAGATTTATTCTTGAGCATAACAGCATATTTGAGAAAATGCATCTAGATGCTGTACAAAGTCTTTCATAATTCATTCCCACAGCAGTCTTGCACTCTTGAACATCATAATACCAAAGTGGTGTATGTTACTGTATCAGGTTTTAGAGAGCATCATTGAATCTGTGGCCTGACCTGCAATATGTTAGTATGAAGTAATTCTACTTAAATTTATTTTATTGATTTTTAAAATATATATAAATGTTCTATTTAAATAAACACTAACATTTTCATGTAAAATAATTTACTGTGTAAGTTTTTAATTAATGTTTTTTATGTGTATAACAATAAGCAAATGCATAGAAATAATCAGTCAGCTTAAAATCTGCAATCTGATTGTAATACTAATCAATTTTAATCTAAATTTCTTAAATAAATACCGACCTGAAGGATTTAAGTTGAAAAAATTTATTTATATTTGAAATGTAAAGGGTTTTTTTTTTTTTTTTGTCATCTTTCTTTAGGTTGACACCAATTTAATTTTTGCACATTTATCTCCTAAAAAGTCTGTGCAAATATTTAAATTGTATAAAATTACAATTTACTTTTTTTTTCTTTTTTTTTTTTCTTTTTTTTGTGGCTGTTTTACTCTTTGAGTGTGTTTACATGTATGAGAATTTCTTAAAGCCTTTCTTAGTTTAGGATTAATAATAGTTCATGAATGTTTCATCTATAACAGTGTAAAGTTATGGGGAACATTTTTTTTTTTTTTTTAATTATAATAGTATTGAAAGTTACTCTTTAATGAACCATGTCATTGCCATAGCAACAGCAAACCTCTTTAAATTCTATGGTGGTGATTTTCTAAATACAGCTTAGATGGGGCACTCACTGAATATCAAACTCTCTACTCGGTTATAACTGTTCCAAAGACACAAGCTTGCTAACCATTACACCATGTTGAGATCTTTAAATTCTTTGTTTAATATCTTGTAATCTTTCCATTTATTTTCCTTAGTTACTGTTAGAAATTTTTGTTGTTTTGAAGTTTCTTTATTCTTTTTTTCTCTCAAAGATTGTTATGGTATCTGCTATTTTAATCCATTCTATTGATAAAAAATATCTATCAAAATGACCTCCAATCATAATGAATGAATTGTTTCAAGGTGTGGTCATAAAGAAGGGAAAATGTTTTGGATAAACTGAATCTCTCACATTTTGCATCAAATGGGGATTTTTTTCTGTTTATCTAAATTGAGTTCAGTGAACTGTCTTTTGTGAGAATTAATTAATTCTTTTAAAATCAACATAGCATCTCTCTATTCAAATTAATAAATGAGGATTTCTACAAAATCCTCTTTTCTAATCTCAGTATAATTGATCTAAAACTATTATACTGATAACTAGTTTATATATAGCACCAAAAAATGATGGTAATATTTAATTTTACAATTACATTGGTTATATTTTTTTAAATAGGTACTCTAGGATTTTTATCTATGCAATTAGCTCATCAAATATAAAAATAAAAATTCTACTTCTATAAATCATTGCAAGTGAAAAATTTTCAAAGAAAACTAATGCAAAACAAAAAATCATTAATATATTAGCAGTCTGGTCTTCCCTACTTACTAAAACAATATTCTGTTATGTTGCTAACATAAGATGTTTACTTGTTGATATCTCCTGTTAAAATAACTGATTCTCTCTACTAAGAACTGGGAGATTAGATTGCATATCTGATAAATATATAAAGTCACAATGTATTTTATACTATAAAATAATTTGTAAACTCATTTTTACTTTGCAAATCTTTATTCATGCCTCAAAGTCTCTTGGTCTTTTTTTTTGTCTATATTAACATTTACATTTTTTAATAGGTAGGAGAAAATTTTGTTTATTACCGCTATCATTATTGTCTTTAACTTCAGTATTGTTTTGTTATCAAAGTATTTTATTTTCTGACATCTTAGAAAAAGTCCATTTTGATGAGAAAGGAAATTTGTGGAGAGAGAGATTAAGGGAAGATAACCGAGTTTGTCTTTTTTCATTTCTCCTTCCCTCACTATATTAACAATAGGTGGTATGGCACATATGAAAAGATATTTTAGATATATGAAAAATATTACTTTTTTGCATAGCTAATTAAACTTTGAACTAATATTTAACCTATACCATTTCATATATGACACAGCAATAAATATATGAAATTACTGCTTAGCCAGTAACATTATTTTTCTTTCTCGTAGATTTATATTTTCGTATGTTCTTGAATCATAAAATCCTAAATTTCTTACAAGTATTTCTATTTTCTTGTTGTTTGAGGCTGATTTCTTATTTAGAACAATTTAAAAAAAGAAAGATATTTAAATAATTTAGATATATTTATATCACTTTCAAACTTTGGATATCTCAACCTAATCTGAAAATATTTTTTTAAAAAAATCAGTGATATTCACTTATTGACATCATTTTCTATGTTTTAAGTACTTTATACACATAAGCCTGTACTTTTTTTTTTTTTTTTTTCATCTTAATTTCAAATTGGTCTAAATTTTGAACTTTTAACCTTATGAACTTGGGTTATTTAGTTTTGCTTATTGAAAATTATCCTGATTTTAGGGAGTAAAGAACAAAATTTTCCAAATTTCTGGATCTTAGTAAAAAAATTTTAAATATGATTCCTCCTTTTTTAATACAGAGCAAGTCTGTATTCTTTGCATGCCATTTTATTAAGTACATTATTTTGACATCATATGTGTACAGCAAATTTTCATATACAGTGTAACCTGGATATAAAAGAGTTGTCGGGACCGGAGAAGAAGTCTCTTATATCCTGGTTTTTCTTATATCCGGGTTTGGTCTATTTTATATACATTAACACAGGCTCTAATTTGGGACCAGAGAAAATCTCTCTTATATCCGGGTTACACTGTAGTTTATTTTCAGTCATAAAATATAAAAATAATAGTCCAGAAAAGTCAAATTCTAGCTAATTCCTTCCAAATAATAAAATTTGACTTAAGTTGAGGATGGTCAGCTTCTCTATCAATTTATGCTGTTTTCAATATTCAGAAATTCATCAAATAAAAGCTAAATATTTAATTAATGTAGTTTTCCATTTTAATGAAAAATGTTTAAAAATATTGTCCTTTGCTTAATTGTCAATCTTGTAGTAAAATGTTGCTTCAATTGAAATTGTTCATATAACCACATGATCTTTGACCGGAAAATGGTGAAGAATTATGTCATACAGGATATTTTTAAGTACATGTGATCTCAAATAACATGATCATTATAGATTACGTCAGATTGCTTTTTATTAGTTATGATCCTTTTCTTTTGAGGTTTGTAAAAGGCAAATAACTTACAAAAGTGAATATTCCACCTAAAATGTTTAATATTCATTTCATATTTAAACAGATTAATTACTCCATATTTCTCTTACAACAATGAAAATGAATGTTACCATCAGTAATGAAATACCTTTGCAATATGGTCTGTGGCATCACTTTCTGCTGCTGAATTGGTTTTATTGTTGCTTGGTTTAAATGTGGCTTTGAGATTTGGTTTCTGTATTTCCAAATAGAAGTCTTTAGCTCTCAGTGTTGTATTACTATAAAATACACTTCTCCTTTGATTCTTAATTTCCACTTAGATCTCATGTGATTTATGCACAATTTACAAATGTATTCTTTAACTTAATATTTTTCATCATCCTACAACTCATTTTATGTTGATAGGCACAAAATCAATGAAATTGCAGTAATACTGAATACACACACGATTATTATATGAAAATTTGAAAAAATAAAAACATTTCTTTGTTTATGCATCTGAATATCATTAGAAACTAGAAAATATTATCAAAGATTAAATCTATTTAATAAATTTTTTTATTAGATTTTGTCATTTTGGCTTTTTTTTTTTGTTTTGTTTTGTTTTGTTTTGTTTTGTTTTTTGTTTTGTTTTGTTTTTTTACAATTGCAAAGATATCTCCTTGATTTGATAATTGTAGTAAA